CCTTATGAGGTCCTGACTAAGTTTTGTTACTTTGTATAGGATCCATCATCCAAGATGGCCGCCAGCGGGGGACTTAGTTTAACATAGGACCCTATGGGAAATACATACAAATGTCTTCTTTTAGAGAACCACTGAATGGAATGAAACCAAACATGGCATGAATGTTCCTTATGAGGTGCTGACCAAGTGTTGTTACTATGAAGCCGATCCATAATCCGAGATGGCCGCCAGCGGAGGACTTAGTTTAACAGTGGACATATGGGAAATACATACAAATGTCTTCTTTTAGAGAACCAGTGAATTGAATGAAACCAAACATGGCATGAATGTTTCTTATGAGGTGCTGACTGAGTGTTGTTTCTTTGAAGCCGATCCATAATCCAAGATGGCCGCCAGCAGGGGGACTTAATTTAACATGGGACCCTATGAGAAATACATACAAATGTCTTCTTTTAGAGAACCACTGAATGGAATGAAACCAAACATGGCATGAATGTTCCTTATGAGGTAAAAACCGAGTGTTGTTACTTTGAATCCGATCCATAATCCAAGATGGCCGCCAGCGGGGGACTTAGTTTAACATAGGACCCTATGGGAAATACATACAAACGTCTTCTTTTAGAGAACCACAGAATGGAATGAAACCAAACATGGCATGAATGTTCCTTATGAGGTACTGACCAAGTGTTGGTACTATGAAGCCGATCCATAATCCAAGATGGCCGCCAGCGGGGGACTTAGTTTAACATAGGACCCTATGGGAAATACATGCAAATGTCTTCTTTTAGAGAACCACTGAATGGAATGAAACCAAACATGACATGAATGTTCCTTATGAGGTGCTGACCAAGTGTTGTTACTTTAAAGCTGATCCATCATCCAGGATGACCGCCAGCGGGGGACATATTTTAACATAGAACCCTATTGGAAATACATACAAATGTCTTCTTTTAGAGAACCACTGAATGCAATGAAACCAAACATGGCATGAATGTTCCTTGAGGTGCTGACCAAGTGTTGTTACTATGAAGCTGATCCATAATCTAAGATGGCCGCCAGCGGAGGACTTAGTTTAACATAGGACCCTATGAGAAATACATACAAATGTTTTCTTTTAGAGAACCATTGCATGGAATGTAACCAAACAAGCATGCATGTTCCTTTTGAGTTGCTGACCAAGTGTTGTTACTTTGAAGCTGATCCTTCATCCACGATGGCCGCCAGATGGGGACAATGTTTAACACAGGACCCTGTGGACAATACATACAAATGTCTTCTTTTAAAGAACCACATACAGAATGGATTGAAAACAAACATGTCATGAATGTTCCTTATGAGGTGCTGACTTAGTTTTGTTACTTTGAAGCTGATCCTTCATCCATGATGGCCGCCAATGGGGGAACTTCCTTTAACATAAGACCCTATGGGAAATACATACAAATGCTTCTTCTAGAGGTGCACTGAATGGAATGAAACCAAAACATGGCATAAATGTTTCTTATGAGGTGCTGATGAAGTGTTGCTACTTTGTTGCCGATTTACTGTTCAAGATGGCCACCAGGATTTTTTTATCAAATTACAGGACCAATATTAAACCAAGTTTGGCCTCACTCATTATTAGGGTATCTGTTATGATTTTAATCTATTTTTACATGATTTCCAAAACCAAAGTAGAATCAGGTGAGCGACACAGGCTCTTGAGATCCTCTAGTTGAAATATGTGTGGTTTGAGTACGGTCTGATTGACCTGTATGCCACATTTTTTTCGCGTCGTTAAGGTATTGTCACATTGACGAATATACCACAATGTTTATGTCGTAGGACTATATCATTGATATATACGACACATCCCATTGAAGTATATGTTTCAAAAACCTATATGCCACAACATTGTGTTTTTAATATTTATGTATCATTGAAGTATATGCCACACCATTTTACTGTCGTTGGAGTTCTGTCTGATTGTCATTAATGCCACATCATTTACTCACTTGCGTCGTTAGTATACTTTCTCGTTGGCTTTTTATGGTTAGTGTCGTTGGTTTCTGTCTCATTGAAGTATATGACACATTTTTCAAAACTATTTGTGTTATTAGAGTACCGTCTTATTGCGGATATGCAACCTTTTTTTATTATTATTTTTGTCGTTGGGGTACTCTTCTTCATATGTGTATGCAATATTTGCTGCTCATGTCTCATTCACTATTTGTGTTGTGAAAATACTGTATCGCTGATGTACAGAAATGTAAATGCCACTTCATACACTATTCTTAATGTAAAGATACTTTCTTATTGGCGAAAACGACACAATTTGTTTTAATATTTCCGTTAATGGCGTATTGTGTCATTAGGGTTTAAGCGGCATATTTTTATAATTTGTTTCGCCGGAAACTGTCTTGTTAACGTCGTTTGGCTGTGCGGAATGTACAAGTACGAAGCCACGTCCGGTCAGAATGGGGACGTTTTATCAGATGCCTCATGTCGAGAGAGCACTATGCTCTCTGCACGTTAAAAACCTTTGCAACATTTCCGTCCCAATCCACTTAACCCTCATTTTCCAGTCAATATATACCCGACTTTCATCCCGGACGGCCTCTATTTTAGGACCTAACTATTGTCTTAAATATTAATTTGTTCTCGTCTGAACTTGAAATAGTGTGCCACTTTAAGCAACCCACAATCGATCATTGACGTATATGCCACATTGTTTTTTTGTTTTTTGGGGCGATGAGTTACATGACACATCTGTTTTTATTATTAATTTCGTTAGAGTACTGTGCCATTGATTTTTATGATACATCCTATTTTAGGATGTGTCTCGTTCCACATTTGTTTTTATTCTTTGGAGTTATGTTCCATTGACGTATTTGCAACATCTTCAGTACTTCAGTGTCGTTAAGGATGTATCTCATATGACAGTCCATTTTCTATTATCTGCGTCGTAAGAGTCTAGTCTCATTGGCGTATTTGCCATATTTTCCTTTAGTACATGTTTCGTTAAGGATGTATCTCATATGCCATTCCATTTTCTATTATCTGCGTCGTAAGAGTCTAATCTCATTGATTTATATGCCACATTATTCTTTAGTACTTGTGTCGTTAAAGGTTGTATCTCATATGCAATACCTTTTTTATAATCTGCGTTGTAAAGGTAGTCTCATTGATGTATCTTCCACATTTTTTTTTTCTGTTTGAGTAATGTTTCCTTGGCGTATATGACGCACCTTTTTTTCTTTCTTTGAGTCGTTTGGTTACTGTCTCATTCACATATGTCACATCTTTTTTTATGTTTTGTGTCCTTTGAGTACTGCATCATTGAGTTAGATTTTTAAAAACTATTTGATCCATTAGGGTACTGTCTCATTGATGTATATGTCACATCTTTTTATTTCGTTTGCGTATGGTGTCATTGACGTATTCCACTTGGGCTTTCTTTTCCTGGCCATCATTTTCGTAAGTACGTGAAATATTAATGGTTAGTTCCATAACGTCCAATGACAAATATTAATTTTGCAGTTGCAAAAATTTCCGTCATATTCAGGACCCGACGAATAGAAAATTGCTGCAATGCGTGCACAGACGTCTACAGGAATACATTGGAGGTGGGAAGGGTTGTTGTTATTGGAGTAGGGGTTTAAGAACTGCAGAATGAAAGTGACACATTAAAATTTGCTCTATTTTACTAAAGATTCGTATAGAATCTTTTTATTTCGAGAAAGATTATATACATACGACTAAAATTTAAATAATAATATTTGTTGCAAAGAGTCAAACCCCGCCGGGTTAACATGCAAACATTATATGTACACAAGAAGCAAACAACACACGAAAAGAAACGAGTCAAATATATATGTATATATAAAATAATTTTTGCGGGTTTTTAAAAGATGCTCTGAAATATATTTTGAGTTTTTGCACCAACCATCACAACCAAGCTAGCAAGTGGAAGTGAACCAAGAACAACATGTCATTGACCTATATAACATTTCCCGCAAAATTCATATAAAGCTTTTTTATTGTCGCACATAAACTTTAAGCGGCAATCAAACACATAAAAACGCATTTAATTAAAGATATCTTATATTGAACTATTAAGAAAGCATGTTAGTAATTCCGTAAAATAAATCATAATTGATTAAGTTGAATTTGTATTCGGTAGATAAAACACAAACACATACAATCAATTTCGAATGACTCAATGCAAAAACAAATCTGAATTCGAATAAAGTAACTAATGTTCATTTATGTTTGTTTCTCTTTTACGTAAAAAAAAAACCCCTTTTCGTCATTTATATAATAAACCAGCAGAATATTTTGTTGTTTGATCAAATAAATTCCAAATAAATATCCATTTGATTCAGTAAGAAAAACCCGTTTTTAGATGAGAACGCCTGATAACATTTTCATTGATAATATCTTTGAATTATACATAAAAGATAGTAGCATAAACATTGTTTCTTACTCGGAAAATTTTTTTGATTTTCCATATTGAAATATATAGAACAAATGAAATTTCATTTTTTTTAAAATGCCGAAAATTTCATATTCGAAGAACATTAATCAAATGCAACAGTCGAGGAAGATTCAAATTACATTTTCAAAATCAATCATAATCTTTTAATAATTCTGTCATGGAATTAAATTTGGATGTAGGACACAAAACTATTGTACCACAGTAATATCAGCCTGTATGGTGTTATACCATGTGTTATTTGAACTTGATTACCATCTAGTTGTTAAAATCTTCATCAGATTAGAAAAAAAACCACACAAATAAACTTAAAACATGTCATATAGTTTGGTATGAATAGCAGAATTAGTTGGTTAATTTGTTGTTTATCGTCCAGTGGCAAATTAATCATGCATATTCAGGAAGAGAACAAATAAACAATGTACATAAAATGTAAATGTAAGTCTACCGGGATGAAAGAAGCATATGAAAGGCAAATGAAGGTAAAAATAGGTTTCAGTTAATGAGACAGCAACTCAACGACACGATACAAATCTTAATTTGTTCCGATTTTATTTACAATCTACACATCCATATAGAATATTTAAATTAATTCGAATAAAAAAAATATTGAGGACATACATATGACTTGAATTTAAATGTCCTCTGAAACAATTTTTATGCAGTTTCAAAATATTTAATGAAATATAAAAAGTGCACATGAATCAAAGACAACATGTCTCCAACATTTCTCTAAATATCCATATAAAGTTGATTTGATATCACACATAAAATTTAAGCGTTGATCACACAAAACATTTACATATCACAGTTGTTAATATTGTGTTTAGTTTGAATACGGAATACCGCTGTACAGGTATTAAGTTAGATTGATAGTAAAGAAAACACAAATAAATAGAAGTTAGTTTAAATGACTTAATGCATAAACAGATCCGAGTCCGAATAAACTCATTGTCTGAAAGAATTATTCATGTTCATTTATGATAGTTTTTTTTCACGTCAAATAGAAAAGCATTTCCGTCATAACTATTACAAACAAGTAGAATATTTTCTTTATTGTCAAAATAAATTTCAAACGGCCTATCCAATCCATCTGATTTAGTAAGAATTTCTCTATACTGTTCACCATCGTCAGATACAACTACTACAGTGTGTGTCCTCCCATTAGTCACATACACATTCCCCTCATCATCTGTTGTTACACCACGTAAATCTTGAATTGTATCCTTTTTAAACTTCCAAATTAATTTTCCATCTAACGAGCAGCAGTATATTGATTTAAAGTCTATATAGACCAACCTGTCTCGGTCTACTGTAATGTCGGCGATACGGTGTGAAGGTAAAGGTATAGTACGTATTACTTTACCTGTCAGGTCCATCACATGTATTATATTTCTATCAGTAACAACGTACAGGTTATTATCATTATATGATATTCCGTAGCAGCGACCACTGGTGTTGATTGTACTGGTGACAGAACCTGTAGATATATTTATTATCAGTATGGTTTTGTCATATCTACATGATACTGCTACAGTGTTAATATTTACCACGGTCATAAACCACGGTGTATAGGACAGAGGAATGTGATGGATATCAGTACCGTCTGAATTACAAATAATAAGTTGTCGATTTCTGTAGTCGGTAAACACTAATGTATTGTCTGTTTTGAGACAGCTAGTATTTTGTAGATTTTCATTCGTTGACTGTTTTATATTTAACTGTTGACGTAAACTGACAGAAACAGGAAGGTTGATTTTGACAGATTCTTGATCCTGAGTGAATGGTTCTTCTTTGATAGGTTCATTTTCTGAAATAAATAATGATTTGGTTATTTCAACAATCGATTACAAAAATGTACCACTAAAAGGGATTAAATGATGCATTTTTTTGTATATTGTGCGTACTATATATTATTATGTAATATTGAATTTTTCACGAACTAAAATTTTCTCTCCGATGTTAACAATTACTAATTTTCACTTTGAACAAATCGAGCTCAACATGATCCGACCACATCATATAGTTCAAGGAAAATCGTAAAAAAAGTGAAAAATGACATTGAAAAACAGATCTGTGTAGAGCATAGTAATGTCCTGGATGTAATATATAATTTGATTGACTTCTTTTGTCCTAATCACGGGAAAAGGAGGGCTGTGTCTCTTCCTATATGAACATTTTACACAGACGTTTCGCTGGAATAGGTATCTTTTTGATATGTCAAATATATTAGTTGGTTGCAATTCCATCAAGGTAAACTGTATATGAGCCAGTATTTTTATCTTTTGATAAAATATCTGTATGTATGTGTTTTCCGCTTTTAAATCAAATTAAGATATCTAAAAAAATGTACTGATAACTAAGAAATATATGAACGAGTAATAAATATGTCATGAAATAAATTAATGGGTCGTGATTTTTACAACATTTCAATATACGAAGGGGTTGAAATACCAGCTGCACTTCTGTATCCACAATCCCATGTTTAGACCATCCCCCAACCTCAAAGGTCCTTACTACCTTGAACTTTATTTAGCATATGTTGTTTTTTTGTAAAGAAAACAAACGTCCGACTTTAATGGGTCGAAATGAATAAAGTAGAAACACACCGGCGATGTTGGCTAGTAGAGTGGTTTTTTTTTACAATAGGAATTTTAAATTGTCTCACTTTACAGTACTTGCATTTTAAATGTATTCCTTATTTGTTCTCGTCTTAAAAATGAATGAAATATTTGCCATTGCAGGTAAAGCAAACAACAATTAATCAATTGATCTTTTATGACCTTACCAGTCAGAAAACATGTCTCTGAGAATTGTGATTGCTGATGTTTAAAAATGTTCTTCATGAATAAAACTATATTTTTTTACAATAGGGGAAAGTGAATATCATTATAAGACACATCTTAGCACATGATGTATTTCGGTTACAAAAATATCTGGTATGGAGCATGTTTTGCAAGGGAATCTCCTTCAATCCACGATAGAGTATTCCGTACAAATCTCTCCGTATAAAAACCCAAGTATTCGCCTCCAGGGTTTTCACGTAGTTCTGTGGGATGTATAAATACGCATTCACGTCAATTCAGAATTGGGTTGTTGATTATAATGAAAGGTAAATGACACGTGTATTACAGCTTTACATTACAATGGTTTTGGGATGCCTATCCGAAGCAAAATTGTTGAACCTATCTAACATGTCTTCGTTTTTGAGGTTGTCAAAATCCCGAATACCCCGTCCTTCATACCAGCCGAAGACCAAAATTGTGCTCTTTGTTGTTCTTTTTAATTTAAATCAATCAATCGTTGTCGCCGACTGTAACGTTATATGGAAACTTATAGATGAAATGCAATATAACAAGACTTTTAGATGAAGATGTTTTCTATTGGTTTATATGCAAATTTTGGTTTAACCACGAAATCAAATTTCCTCAATCCACTAAAATTGGTACCCACGAAAAAATATAATCCAAAGTATTCATTATGACTCCCCACAAGGGTGACTACGGAATAGAAATATGGTTATCATTGGTCTCCCTCCGACCGGCAGCAAAATTCTCGCCAAAGTTGGGCGTTCGTTTGGCTGTGCTGGATGTATCAATTACGCAGCCTCGTCCAGTCAAAATGGGGATGTTAATTCTGATGCCTCATTTAAAGCGAGTGCCCGCTCTTTATACGTAAAGAATCCTTGCAACAGTTTTTAAGGCGGTCCGCAGGTGGCCTGTTGCAAGGCTGAATTTCTGTCCCTTTCCAATATACCCTCATTTTCCCCGACCTTCATCCCGGACGACCTCTATTTCAGGACCTACCTATTGTATTTATTGCTAATTTGATCTCGTCCTGAATATGCAACTAACAATCAATCATTCTGACTCGATCTTAAATGTTCCTGATTAAATTTATTTGAGGTACAAATTACTTAAAAAAGAAAAGGAAAAACAGGAATTTCACTGTTATTGTCAGTTTTATTTGTGATCATTTAATCCAACAATAAGTTTTCCTGAATAATGGTGCTAGTATGTATTATTGGTATACAGCTAAATTGTTTAATCTGAACACACAACTTGCCTGTCTGAGGTCACAAGCCTAAGCATGTCAGTCGTTGTCTTTTGTCAATTTGAAATGTATTTTTTTCATTTGGGGAATTTGGTATAGGTTGTTGATTTTTTAGGGTGTTTGTTGAATTGTTGAAATTCAAAGACTTTATTCAGGCAAATTTTGGGCTTCTGGAAGTGTAATTTGATGAAAACCGTATGCGCATTTATATTACAATATAATAATCATTGGGTCGCTGTTACATTTACAGATATGCCACGTATATATTTAAATTTGAAAAGAGGTAAAGAAAAAGTATTCCACATACTAAACTTCTAATTTGAGTCTGCTGCCTTCATTTTAACAAGAACCACACAGGGTGACTGGTGAAGAGAGATATGGCCACTAAGGTGTTCTACCTACCGGCAGTACAACACTTGGCAAAGTGAACCGTCATGTTGTCTATGCGGGATGTACAAGTACGCAGACACGTCAACTCAGAATTAAATTCGATGCCTCATGTGATTGCCATGCTCTCTGCACGTTAAAAACCCTTGCAAAAACTCGTTAGAGATCCGAAGGTGGCCTGTTGCGAGGCAAGATTTATTTCCGTATCTAATAAACACTCCATTCACTGCGGCAGTCATAATTTTCCCGACCTTCATGTCAAATGTCCTCTATTACAGGACCTACCTATTGTATTTATTAGTACATGTCCTGAACATGCAAGAAATATTTGCCGCTGGAAATTAGGCCACCACCCATCAATCAATCACTATGCCCGAGGGAGTTTGAATCTTTGTTACTTAAGTGAAAAAATCATCTGAAACACCTCCTCCTCAGCTGGGGAATTGCACAGTACTTTCTGCAACACTGATCTCAACACAGTGCAGTTAAATAAAAGTTACTCTTTACAAATTACTTGTGTCTGAAGTTCTTATCCTTATTTCCATTCATGTTAAAGCATATAACAAACGTTGTGATCAATGAGAAATATATGTGAGATGTATAAATAGGAATTCACGTCAGATCAGAATTGGACGTTGAATATGAAATACGGAAATGAAACGCTTTCTACAGCTCTACATTACAATTTGTTTTTGGAGTTGCTGATACGAAGCAAATTAGTTGATCCTGTGTAACATGTCTTCATTTTCAAGGCTGTCAAAATCCTAAATACCACGTCCTTGATACAAGCTGAAGACCAGTAAATTTGTTAAAAATTGTGCTCTTTGTAGTTGTTTTCTTTAAATCATAGATGAAATGCAATTTAACAAGACTTTTAGATGAACATGTTTACTTCTGGTTTAAATGCAAATTCTGTTTAAACCAGGAATCCAAATATCTTCAATCCATGAAAATTGGTATCAACGAAAATAAATTATTCATCATGACTCCCTCTAAGGGTGACTGGGGAATAGAAATATGGTCACCATTGGCCTTCCTCCGACTGGCAGTAAAACCTTCGCCTAAGTGGGCCGTGTGGGATATATCAAGTACGCACTCACGTCCACTCAAAATTTGGACATTAAATGCAATTGCCTCATGTAGAAAACTGCAATACTCTCTGTACGATAAGAAACTTTGCAAAATATATTTGAGGGGTCCGAAAGTGGCCAGTTGTAAGGCTAAATTTCTGTTTGTACCTAAAAAAACACTCATGTCACAGAGACTGTCTTAATTCTCCCGGCCTTCCAGCTAAATGGCCTCTATTATAGGACCTACTAATTGTATTTTTTTTTTAAATTGTCCTGAACATGCAAGAAGTATTTGACACTGGAAAATCTATTAATCAAATTTGCCCTTTGGAGTTAGAATCTTTGTAATTTAAAAAAGAAAAAATGTTCAAAATCATCTCGATACCCAATTAATTCCTCATCAGCTGGAAATAACACTATACACTATATACTGAGCATGACAATTACTCCTTTTTTCCTGCAATACAGGTATCCACTCCCATTGAAGGTAAATACACACAACACTACAAATTTCTCGTGTTCGAAGTGCCTATCTTGATTGAAAGTCATGTGGAACTCTCAAATCGTAGCACTTAGCCTGGTTTTGGGCTTACTTTTGATTCCAATTTGTTTTTGTCAACTCTCCAACGTATTGTATTAGGTTTTGTATAGTAGCATCACTGACGAAACCTTAATTGTCGAAATGATTTGTTGGTGCAATAAAATAAGTACTGTTAATGTTATGGATATCAAAGATTGTCTTTTCATTGTTGGAATGTACAAGTACCCGTTCACGTGCACTCCGTGTTTTTGTTAAATGTATTTCTATTTGTATCCTTCTGATGAGTTAAGACTTTTTCAGGTGATGTTTATAGTTTGTTATGTTGTACTGTTACACCGCTACATTCTGTATATGCCTGTCACAAGTCAGAAGCCTGTAATTCAGTGGTTGTCGTTTTTGCCGTGTTACATAATTGTTTTTCGTTCATTATTTTGTTCAAATATTATGCCGTTATTTTTTTTTTCGTTTGAATTGATTTACATTTGTTTTTTCGGGACCGTCATAGCCGACTATGCGGTATGGGCTTTGTTCATTGTCGACGGCCTTACGGTGACTTATAGTTGTTAATTTCTGTCATTATTTCTGTCATTTGGTCGTTTGAATAAAGTCGTCTCATTGGCAATCATACCACATATTTTTATATGTACAAATATGTTAGAACGTTAGGAGCTTTATCACTAAAGGAGACATACAAAAAAAATTAAATTCTTCTAATTTTAACTTTGTCTGATGTAGCGGGAACCTTAATTGTGTTATTTATGAATTCATCACACATCATTAAATCAGAAACGTTTATACATATATAGCTCTAAATTCACATCGGTATTTTGTAAACCGGTTCAGAAAGGATAATGTATGCCACTATCCAACATTAACTCCAAATATCAAAAAAAGTTTTACAAATCTAACAAAAACAACCTTCAGATGTCCATAAGATATTATTCTGTTGGATATCAGTATTGTTTTTTGAAATATGTCTTCTACATATTTGCATAATGACTCAAAACGTTTTACATGCACAACCCCAAAAACTGCAAATAATAGCATATTCTAGTCATTACTGTATTGATACGAGCGACAGCAGAAAGATGTTGCTACTAAATGTATTTTACAAAGATGTTATGTTTGTAGAATATCTTTCGTGGTTAATCTGTTGCTCATATGTTCGATGGATAAAATATGTCGTAGAGTTGTCACTGGTTCAGACGTACTTATAATATAATTGTTTCTGTGACTGCATCCTACATTAATTTGTAAGATCCTCTACGATAGATAATTCAGCTTATCTGTAAAAGTTCCATCTTCATGCGTTATATATCATGTACTGTGTTACAACGTTAGATTAAAACTGACGAGGAAAGGTAACACCCAGCCACCGAAAACTTTTTTTTTTGTAGAGCCTAGGTGGTCGAGTGGTCTAGCGCGTCGGACACGGTGCAAGGCGATTGGTGCCACGATATCTCAGTAGCATGAGTTCGAGACCCCGCCAGGGAAGAACAAATGTTGCACAAATTTACAGATCTAACATTGTTGGGCTGTTATTTAGACGAAAGTCTAAACAAGTCTAAATTGAAAACAACGTTCTAACCTATGATTGCGATGGATAAAAACCGCAATTTTTCTACGTGTGCATGCAAAACAAATTGCTTGGTAGAGGGGTCTAAATACAGCACAAACAAAACATTTTTCTAAAGACCAAAAAAGTATATTTAAACAAAACGCATTTGACTAGCAGATGTAACAAAATGGATCTTAATTATTAATTGTATACTAAACAGAAAACAATGAAAAGATGGTATGCCGCAAACAAAAGGTGCAAAAAGTTGTACGCCATATTCGGATTTCGACAATAATGTCTCTTCGGTGATGTTAGGAATCGAAACGGTATTTGGAAGGCCATATAATTTACCTCAATTTAGGATAGACTCTTGAATTTTGAAGAGTCGAAATAGGATGAACGGATCATATAAACCCGAAGGCAAATATAATACAAGCCAAAACGAAAAAAATATAAACAAGTCTAAATTGAAAACAACGTTCAAACTTATGATTGCGCTGGAAAAAAACTGCAATCTTTATACGTGTGCATACAAAACAAATTTCTAGGTAGAGGGGTCTAAATACAGCACAAACAACATTTTTCAAAAGACCAAAAAAGTGAAAAAGTATAGTTTTACAAAACGCATTTGACTAGCAGGTCGAACAACGGATGTTCTTAAACCCTGCTGACTGCCATTGGCGATCGTAAAAAAAAACGGATCACCAGATGTAACGAAATTAATCTTAATTATTAATTTAATACCATACAGAATATATACATATATATATATATATTCGCGAAATGATCAGATCATGTCAAATATGTAAATTTTTATATGTTTATGATGTGGCATCACACGTGACCTTTCTGCATTTAAGTGTCCAAATTACAAATTGGCATACTTTTGATGTTTACAATTTTTGCTATTTCAGGGGCCAAATAATGGCTCTAATCAAACCTTTCAACCTGTATTACACAGGATTGAGGTCATAATCAACTATTAACATGAGTGAGGAAGTAACAACGTCATACATACAGAAATAATCAAAGGAATGCTATATTTGTGAAAACACATTAATGTGTAAAACTGTTAAAGTAATCTTAAATTAACGCATGCACTTTTGAATAAAGAAACATCTCCTAAAGACAAGACTTGGAAATTATACCGCTATTAATATACTTATGTTGTAGAAAAAATAAACCGATTAATAGATACAAATGCTATAGGAGAATATGTAAACATAATCTTACCTGGATGTTGGTCATCCTGCTTAGTGTCTAGTTTCGCTCTGTCAGGAATCACTTTAACCTAAAAGCAATTTGTGAAACAAGTGAATAAAAAAATATAATTTAAATGGCTCAACTATTCATAATGTTCTACTGAACACTAAATAAGTATGATAATTTAAGTACGAAGCCAATTAGAAAGGTTATGCAAAAGTTAACATGTTAGATATTTTGCAGATCTACATATAAACTAGTTGCAGATATAGTTCTTGCAATTGCAACATTATATGTTACTGTTTTACTGATTAGTAGGTATTCATGAATCCGTCACCGATCAGTCGAGTTGATATCATCAATCCGTCAAACTTACAATGAGAAGACTGATTGATCTGTGTTAGGGATTCAACTCTATCTATTTATACCTCTGGATCGATACGTCTGCTAGGGGACTTTCTGACCACGAAGTTAGCATTAGCCTAGCATTACCCTATTAGTCAGTATTTTGATACTTGCATGACAATACGAATATTGGTATGATTTAAATTGCTGTTATTTCATGTTATTTCAAAATCATTTTAAAACAAGGAATGTATCTGCCTAGTGCTTAGATGTGATTCTTTTTCCAGGTTTGACTTCATTATTGTGTGTTTTTTTTTTTTTTTGGTTTAGTCTCCTCTTTGACATTTGTATAGGAGTTTCGATTTTCAAATTATTTGGCCTAAAACATCAATGATCAGACGTTTATGTATCAATGAGCATCTGGTGCAGTAAAATGTGTACTGTTAATGTTAACGTTATTATAATCACTGGATCTATACTTTTCTTGTGGACTTTCATCCCCGGAAATATCATTTGCCAAGAACTGGCAAATTTGTGTTGCTGTCAGATAATTTTGAAATCATTTTTAAATTAAGGAATGTATTATCCTTATGCATAGCTCCTTGTCGGAGTTTAGATGTACGTTTCGGTCTTTGTTTTATCAGCTGTTTCACGTTTGTATTCGGTTTTTCATTCTAAAATATAAATTTGTCTCGAGCATCATTGATTGTTTAAATGCATATATGGTAGAGTTGAATTGGTACCGCCAATGTTCACCTGATTACTACCACTGAACTAATTCATCTCTTTAAGGACTTTAAGTTCCCAAAGATTTCACGAGTCCACTAGCCAGTATTGGTGGTTTTTAAGTAGACGAGGGTACCATTAGCCTAGTAGTCAATATTTCGATGCTTGCATGAAGTGACGGTTATTGTTTTATCAAACTGGCTGTTAAAAAAATTCGGAATCATTTAAAATTAAGCAATGAATCTCCATCATCTTGGGTAAAAACACAGTATTTGTATCAAGTAACTGTGTCAAACTCATGAAATCATGGATTAAATTACATTTGTTGTAATGCATTGTTCGCAGAAAGATTAGTTACTATTTAAATCAGGTAACATGTTGTATCTGAATTTATATTAATTTGTATGAACTTTGTCTCAACAGAGATACTTAACATTCTGAATTATTCTTAATACATTCTCAATGTTTATCAAAAGATTCTTACCATTCTGCTTTTCTGTCAAAATAATTTCTAAACACTTTATAACATTTCTTTTTTTGTCTCGACATATTCTTTACCATGTTTACATTCCGATTTTTCAACATATCTTAAACTGTATTTTATTACTTTTAAAATTATTTGTCTGTTTTGGCATCTGCCATCTTGGGATTTTACTAACTAATTTGTCTAAATAGCTTACTTGTACAAGAATTATTTGTAATAACTCAAACAGCATAAAATACCGAGCTTCAAGGGAGATTCGAAACGGAAAGTCCTCTATCAAATGGCAAAACATATAGATCAAACACATCAAACGAATGGAAAACAACTGTAATATTTCTGACTTGGTACAGGCATTTATTCATGTCAAAATGGTGGATTAAACCTGGCTTTATAGCTAGCTAAATTTCTGACTTGTATGAAAGTCGCTCAAAATTCCATTATATTGACAACAGCGTGCGAGAAAAACAGACAGCTTTATTATGTAAACCTACTGTAAAAATTTTGTTGTAATATTAGTCACTATAAAAACAATTTCAGCATAGAAAAAGAAGACATTTAGACACTTTTAGCGAAAATGAAAGATAAGAAAACAGAAATCACCACAGCACAAAATAAATAATAAATACCGACCCACGCCAAAAGTATAAAACCAAACATTTACTGACCATTGCATGTTACAAATATACAAATAATAAAAAGAACACTACAACACGTAAGTAAGATGATAAACAACGTCAATACCCAGAATCTATACTTGAAGACTATACTGTATTATTTGTGAAGTTAAATTAACGGCTGTATTTAATTTTTCATCGGAAATACGTTTTTGTTTATCTTCCATTTGAAAAAAAAAATTTCAAAACATCTGGATATTCTCTGATGTGCACATGTCACAAAATATGAGAATGAAAGTTTGATGTCTGGGAACAGTATTTCGAAGACATGTTACGAGATCTGAAAATGCATGTTTAATATGCACATACCACTAATATGAACATACCACAAATATGAAAATGCATGTTTAATATGCACATACCACAAATATGAATATGCATGTTTAATATGCACATGCCACAAATATGAAAATGCATGTTTAATATGCACATGCCACTAATATGAAAATGCATGTTTAATATGCACATACCACAAATATGAAAATGCATGTTTAATATGCACATGCCACAAATATGAAAATGCATGTTTAATATGCACATGCCACAAATATGAAAATGCATGTTTAATATGCACATGCCACAAATATGAAAATGCATGTTTATGTATATTGTGTTGCTATCCTTCATATAGGCATAACAATTACCATTGCCATTTCCATTTTCATTAACACATTTATTACCATTAAAATTTCCATTATTATTACTAATACCATTTTCATTACATTTACCATTTGATACAGACAAAGCTGATTATATATTTTGCTCATTGGACTTGACGTCTAAAATTGAATTTATGAAAGACCCCTGGAGAGAAAGGGACACAGGGAGTCAAGACTGTTGACAATGTTCCCAGACAATATCAGACTGAGTTAAGCCTTTATTTAAGACAGTTGAGGTTTTCAAATGATAATCTAAGCAATGTATAATGATGCCGTTTTACAAACATACCTCATTGTTCATCCAGTGCGAATATATCTGCTCAGATCGATGCATTTGCTTATGCTGAATACAGAAACACTCCTTCTCAACTGTCAGTTTCTCATATTCAAATGTGTCTTTGAAAAAACAACCATCACTGCATTTAAAATATAGTTTAAAAGATATTTTCACCTTATATCTCTCTTTTATATCTTCAATAAGGTGAGTTACTTTACTGTATATATCGCTACATGTGCTTCCAAATCCCTCATGTTGTTCGGAAAACGTCACAACCTGAAGAGCAATTGTATCAGTCGACATGGTAACCAAAATCTTTGTACCACCAGATCCATCAATGTCAAACATACATATGCCACGATATAAAGCAATACCACCCTCTACTTTGCTAGAGTAGTATGTTCTGATAAACCATGCAGATATATGGTTAAAGAAAGATGGTGGAAGAAAGTCAAATTTAAAACAAAGCCAGGAAGTCCTTTTACATTTTCCATCAAGAATGCCAAATTTTTCACATACATCGTCAAACGTGGAAGACGGCATCATGCTTGGCATTATATAGTAACTGGAGTTCTCAATTTTGACCAATATATCAAGCTTTTCCATAATTTTATTCAAATTATTTTTTTGTCCTGAAAACTGACTTCCATCTTTTGATTCGAAGAGTTCTGTTATTAATGAATCACTTATTTTGCCTTGTAGTGTAAACAGTGTCCAGTCCTCCAGGTGATGCAATCTTCTGTTGGCAACTCTATCTGAAACTAAACACCGGAAAGCATCTGCTAACCACTGAGGCTTTAATATGATCAAATCCGGTAAATTTTCAAAAAAAATGATGTTCCCTACGTTATGCTGAAATCTGAGAAACATCAACAAATCCTTTTTTTCTATAATATTGATATCAGGATGTTTAGCCATATTTGACATTTCTGTAAAATGAATGAAATTTTTTCCATCGTTCTTATTTATTTCAATCAGATGTTCTAAAAGAATCCATTTTAACGGAAAAGCGTTACCCCAATTTCCCATTTTCCGTGCAGTCTCGTAAATTGCGTATTGCAACTTTTCAAATTTTTCGTCACTGTCTTTCGTATTTGATAGATAAAACTTGTCGTGCAAGTGATGATATTTGGTTTGAAATCCAAGTACCTTGCCCATTTGATCATTGAGTTCCTTTTCTCTCTTCTTAAAATCTGCCTACAGAAAATATACCAAAGAATCAAAGGTTATCATGTTTGACACTTTAACAATAGTTATTGAGAATAAATTATGAACTTCCAACTATATGTCATCTTTATTTATTCCAACGTATCACTAGCTCTCATGAAAATTATACAGAAAATATATGGGTCTTCTTTAGCTTACTATACGGTGTAAGGTTTTGTCATACGCCCTATCATAACCTACATGTACATCTAATTGGCAATCATACCTAGTCTTCTTAAAGAAACCACATTGGCTTACTGCGGCATAAATTTTAGTCATCCCGGATGTATTAATTCGCGCAAAGTCAGAATGCGGACGTGCTTCGTGTAGAAAGAGAGCATATCTATATGCACAATTAAAGACTTTGCATCAATTCTTTATGAGCCAGTGCAGGGGCCTGTTATCTGGCTAAATTGCTGTTCCTATCTCATTACCCCATTTTCAAGTTGGTTTCCAAACCATCATATCGGTCACCACCTTATTGGAGGACCTACCTAATGTTTTTATTAGTTTTGTTTGTTCTTATGCTGAGCATGCATTCAATCAATCCCATATGAACTAACGATATCTATTATCCTAAATCTTTTTTTCAAATTCTAAAGAGAGAGGTGAAAGATACCAAAGAGACAGTCACACTCATAAGTCGATAATAAACTGTCAACACCATGGTTAAAAAGGGAAAAAAACAAACAAACAACAGTACACAATACCCAACACAGAAAACTTAAGACTGATCAACACGAACCCAACCAAAAACTGGGGGTGATCTCAGTTTCTCCGAACCTTGATCCTCGTCTTGATGTGCATGTCATATTCGCCACTGGACATTGAATATCTCTGCATCATTCTAAACATGCAATGCATATACACATAACTTTGATTAACGTCGCAAGTAACGATAACTCGGCAGGGAACACTATTAATCCGAAAAAAATGATGTGTACGCAATCCTCAAGATAGGTTTGTTTTAGTGAAATAATGTATCTGCATTCTGCTCAAAGCAATAAAAAATAATAACAAACACAATCTGTTTTATAGTAATCCTTTTAAGGGGTCCTTTTGTGGTCTGTAGCGAGGCAAAATATATGTCCCTTTCCAACATTTTATCTTTTAAATGTGAAGCGCATAGATTACATTTTGTAATTATTGTTATTATATAATGCGCTCTATAAATATTGTATTTATAATAAACAATTGGTTTTCAGTTCCAAATCCCCGTGCTCAATCCCTTTAGTCCCATATAGAAGGACACATATACTGTATTAATTGTTTTTGGGGTTATGTATAAAATATAAGTCACCTGACGTTAAGCAAGCACCAATTAATCAACTTATTCAACGGAGTTCTATTTGTTCATAAGTTGTTTTGTAAACTTATTGTCCAAGTGTTTTGTTAATTTTAAGCGCTCATAAACATGTCTAAGATCGCACGTTATAAATGTACCTGTTCAAATGGTGTTGCTGCATGTTATTATTGTTTTACGTTATTTTTGTATTATAAATAAAGACTTTCATTTCTCTTTTAAGGAATTATTTCGCATGTTGTTATCCCCGGGTTTGTTACAATATTTATTAGTCTCATTGGCAAATATTACATGATGACGTTCCGATCAACAACAGAATTGTATTACCTCGTCATATTTATCCTTTCCAGTGAAAACTAATACAATCGGAGGATCAAAGTGCCGATCACTGACTCGTCGTATGTCGCTCGTTCGATGACAATGGATAGAATCAAACCAAAAATCAACATACTCTGAAACATATAAACATTGTTGAATAGATGATGTTTCGAGACCAACTAGGATACCTCGAGTGTGTACCCTAACAAGAAAATATGATAAAACTATCTCTTATTTCTAACATAAATTGAAACTATTTATAATAAGAAAAGAACGAACTTACTGTTTTTTTGTATAAGAAAATATTCATATCCTAATCTTTCTATATATATGTAGTTTTAGCTTTGTATAACCACTCGTTATCCGATGGAGACTGTCTGTCATAAAGTTGTCACATGTTTAGACGTGTATAATAAAATTAAAATTTGATGTGGCGGCAGGGTAATTTACATTATCATCATTTAAGACAGACAAAACAGCTGATCTGTAAGGTACATCATATACTTGTAACTTTACATCATGTACTATATTTCAACGCTAGCTAAGGGAACAGCTATTTAACTTAATGGTTTTTTTCTAATAAAAAATATTTTGATCCCCAATCTGATGACAAAAAAATTATCTGGCCAAGCAGATGGCAAAAAAAAATATTCTGAATCCAGATTTACCCCATACAGATGGGTGCAGTCCTAACCTGTACAGCAAGTTAACCTGTGACAGAATTTAGGACGGCTCTGACCAGTCCTACAACAATCAAGTTAACTTGAAAAGCGGAATTGGTCCTAGGACTGTTTTTATGACTGCCGAAAAAGATAACTTGGATACAGGTCCGCTACTATTATAAGTTAACTTCGAAACCAGTCCTGCCATAAGTTAACTTTGATTTTGAAAACTCCGATCGAACCAGACCTGATGTCAATTTAACTTTTGGCTGGTCTGCTCAACACTAAGTTAACTTGTAACCAGGACCGCTATACATCGATTTTTAAAAAAAATATTTTTATTTGTCTTCGTTTCTTGATAAACTTTACAGATTTAATACATGGATTTGTAGATAAAGTCCGCATAAAACTTTGCTTGTTATACAAATTTCTCAGTAATCTGCCATTTTATCAATTAGAAACGATATTGGTTAACGGGGATTGAGTATATATTCCAATAATATCAAATTCTTTAATTCGTATATACATGTATTTTATATAAAATGTTATAAGTTCTGATCGGTTTTAATATGTAGCATTAATCTTATAAACTTAGTTATCAGATAAAATCGATAAACAATGCCAATAACAAATAGTACTTAGATCGTATAAAATAATCATGATAAATGAAAGCAATATTGGTGTACAGTTACTGATATTTATCATGTTTATGGTCGGCTTACTAATATTTCTTTTTCTGCACAAATAAACAGTTCAAGCATGTCCTTCTTTTATTCAAATAGTTAAATCATCATCAAAATCCAGCAGTTTCAACATCTCAGACTGGCTCAAATATCAACCAAATCTGACCATATTTGCACTTTGTTATGTAAATATATAAAGCCTCATAGTAAATCAGTAATATTTCTATGTCAGGATGGATTGTATAAAAACGATGACAGCAATATTGGAACACAATGACTACAAAATTATGTCCGCATCAATTTAGAGTGCCAGCATGTCCTCTTTTAATTCAAAATATTGAATCTTAAAAAAATTTCAGTAGTTTTGATACCTCAGGCTGACTCGAATAACAAAATTATTTGACCGCATCAACCAAAACTGACCATATTTACACTTTATTATGTAAATACATAAAACCTCATAGTAAATCAGTAATCCCAGCAGGCACTTCAACGTTGAATCAACGTTGATCTGTAACGTTGAAAAGACGTTGAATTAACTGTTGATTTTGAAAGGTGAAACAACGTTGAACATCTGACGTTGAAACAACGTTATATTTTCAACATTGTATCAACGTTGATTTTTGATTGAATATAGGTTAAAACTTTACATTGAAACAACGTCACCCTAATATTGCAACGACATTGTTTCATGTTGAAATAAGCAATTAGTTTTTGTTGTTGGTTCATCTGTCATATGTGTTTGTCGTGACAAATTTAGGCGGTTGATTTTTCTCGTGTGAATTGCTTAAAAAAATTGTGTCCGGGTCTTTTATCGCGGACTATACGGTGGGGTGTTTGCTTATTGTTGACGGCCGTTTAGTGACCTCCACGTCCATTGGACTCTGGTGGATATTTGTCTCATTGGCAATAATACCACATCTCCTTATATCTATTATAGTTTGTACCCACAAAAGACATTGAAGCCACATGACTCTACAGAGGACATCAGCAAGATATGAAAAAAAAACCAATACAACAGATGTCAAGTTTATATGACAAAAGCTCATATATCCAAAAGGTGATCTGGTAAATGAATACAAATAATCTCTTAATTCATTTTTAATATTTTCGTGAAAATGAATTGTAGTCTGCAAACTCCTCCCACCATTTCTGGTGCATAATCCTTCTTTAATTCAGCTTCTGTTATTTTTGTGTAGGCATTCATTACTCTTCCTGAAAAAAACCCAACCACAAATAATATTTTGTAAACAAAAGTTAACAATCACATAGAACGTCAAAGGCAGGGAATGAAATGTTATAAAAGGCCATTTTTTTTTTGATTAATTTACTGGTTTCCATTAACACGGATCCGTTTTTACCATTTTTCGCTCCTGTGCATGTAGCAATGCCACTTATCTCGAGCATCACGATCTATTGTATCAATGCACCCCATCTCGAACACAAGGATCTATTGTAACAATGCCATCCATCTCGAACACTAGGATCTATTGTTAAATGCCACCTATCTCGAGCAACAGGATGTATTGTACAAATGCCACCTATTTCGAGTACCAGGATCTATTGTAACGATGCTACCCATCTCGAGTACCAAGATCTATTGTAATAATGCCACGTATCTCGGATACCAGGATCTATTGTTAAAATGCCACCCATCTCGAACACCAGGATATATTGTAACAATGCCACCCGTCTTATTGATTGCAGATGGTTATGTTTTAAATTTGATATGCATTAAAAAAAATATTACAAATCAAATCAAATCAAATGTCTTTATTCCTGCTTAAATGGCCCATATAGAGCATATAAATCAACACAAATCACAAAGTTCATTACAGTATCCACGCAAACAACACATGCAATTTAACATACATATTGATTATTGATAATCAAAACCGTTAAAAATTTTAAAAAAAATACATACCTTGAAAGCTATTACCTTTATCCTTAAATCTTTCCTTTTAATTTTTCTCATTAAATCTTTTTTCCTAAAACTCTAAAAGAGGGACGAAAGATACCAAAGGGACAGTCAAACTCATAAATCGAAAACAAACTGACAACGCCATGGCCAAAACTAAAAAGACAAACCGACAAATAATAGTACAGATGACACAACATAGAAAACTAAAGACTCAGCAACACGAACCCCACCAAAAACTGGGGGTGATCTCAGGTGTTCCGGAAGGGTAAGCAGATTCTGCTCCACATGTGGCAGCCGTCGTGTTGCTTATGTTTTTACAAATCCGATAAATAGTCTATTTCGGTAGGTCACATTCGTGAAAAGGGAAGGGTATTGTAGTTACGACATAAGGAACATATCCGATATCATCTGTGAAACGGTTATTTCATAACGGTCAACCAACTCGTGATGGCGTCTTTAAAATATACGAAGGGATGATTTCAACTTCACCATTTGGAACTCTTAGTTTAATAGCTTTCTTGTGAGCAGCAATCCTCTATCAAGAAAATCATGATAGGAAATAAAAGCCCGGGAATATCGTATCAATTGGGAGATATATACTCCGTATGCAGGCGCTGCTGGAATGATGCTATATAGAAATGGAAAGTTCACAATTGGGAAGCTGAAATCATCTCTTTTGTCGTAAAGTTTTGTTTTCAACCGACCCTCATTGTCAATTTCTAGATGTAAGTCAAGATATGAGGCAGACTTAACTGTATCTGTAGTATCCTTTATCTCTAGTTCGATGGGATAGATTCGTTCAACATAGTCACCAAATGTTGTATTATTTAGTGAGAGAACAGCATCTATATAGCGGAACGTAAAGTTTAAGGATATTGCTAACTTTTTATCTTTCTTCCCAAGAAGTTGCTGTATCAAGTCAGCCTCATAATAATAAAGAAACAAGTCGACAAGAAGAGGGGCACAATTGGTTCCAATTGGAATTCCGACAGTCTGTTAAAAAACGCGTCCTCTAAACGTAACAAATATGTTGTCAATCAAGAAATCAAGCATCTTGATAATGTCAGTTTCAGAGAATATTTTGTTTGAATCAGAGTGAAAGTAGGATTTATCCCTCCTCAAGACAAGATACTTGTATCTACGTTCGCCATTCTTTTTAATGAAACAAAGTAATACCAATTCTTTCAATTTGTCTTTTAGTTTGGAATGGGGAAGACTTGAGTAAAGTGTAGAAAAGTCAAATGTTTTAATACTATTTCAAGATGAGAGAGTCTTAGATTGCATGTACTCTAAAAGATCTTTGGAATTTTTTAGTATCCACATTTGATTCACGCCACCTCTAGAATAGGCAGTTTCACAATAACTTTGGAGCCCGGCTTTGATTGCTGATTAAATAGATGTTAATAATTTAGAAAGAGGTTTCTTGGAGCACTTGGAAGACCCAGCAATATACCGTTGTTTGTAAGGACACTTATGTAATTTAGGTATCCAATACAGTTATGGAAGATCCAGTTCTTCGTCTTTGGTTGAAATTCCAAAGGAACATAGAACAGACCTATGATTATCCAGGATTTCCTCTTTGGTAAGTGTCGTGAGGGTATATGTTGAGTTTCCAAGTGAATTGTCAATAACTCATTCATTTATCAAGCAGTTTATGTAATGACATTTACACACAAAAACGATGTTGTTTGGGGCTTTATGTGCGGGGACAACAACATATTTGTCATGGAGGTAGGACAAGTGTTTTGCAACATTTGGGTCTTTAAAAATTGACGTAGCGTGGGTATTGATAGACCCATTTAAGTTTCTGTTCTGTCCCTAATACCTGTGCAAAAAATAAGAATAACATCGATCATCATCGCCAAGCA